ACTCCTGTTCGAGCCCCACTTCTGCCTCTCCGGAGGGGGGCTCCTCTCCGGGAGGTCTGGCTTTCTCTGGATGGTGAGGTAGCTGTGCCGTGACACCCCCCACACATGCCATACACTCGGACCCCCCACACACGCACTTCTCGGTTGGTTGCAGTTTAAAAAATACCAGCCGAGGTCTCGGGTTGCATGCCCACCACTGGGCAGTCAGTTCAGGGCTGGAAGGGGTTGGGGGGGATGGTGTGAAATGGGGTCACATAAGAACTCGCATACCCCAGCGTAGCCATGCGAATAGGGGTCCGTGTCCAGGGCAGAGGGCAGGCACAGTGCAGAGCGGACAGTCCTGCGACGGGCACTGGTGCTAAAATGTGAAATTGAGCAGAATCGGGAGGCAGCGTCGTTCCCAAGACAGCGTCACGTCTGTGGCGGTCCGTTGACCATCGCTGAGAAACCGCCGTTTTGTGATACTTGCACTAAAAGCTCTATTGCGCCAGCGGGGTCCTTCAGGTCCTGCAATAACGTGCTTTTCCTTTAGGGTTTGAGCTGCAGTTTCGATTAGGCCCAACGCTCCAGGGAAAAGCAGTCACAGTGCATACAAACTACCCCTTTCCCGGGCAAGCGTTTCACCGAGAAAAATTCCGCCCCCTGGACTGGGAGCATCCGTCCGGCAGAGAGGACGACTCGGACAAACACTGTGCCCTCCACCTCCAGCAGGCGGGCTCCTTCCACTACTACTTCCTCCAAGGGTGAGCGGTTCCCAGCGTGGAAAAGGAGCTCCACTTACTCTCTCGCTTAAATGTGTAGGAAGTTGCCTGATTCACCATGGCGCTGCAGCTTCGACAGGGATTTCTTGAGATGCAAATAGAAAATGGCTCATCTAGAAAGTGATTGGAGGGCTCATTGCAGATTCAAAGTATTATTATTATTTCATTTTAAAATGTGTTTGGATTGACTTGAGAGAGAGAGAGGAAGGGAGAGGGGGAGAGAGAGAGAAACATTGATGTGAGAAAGAAACATAGACCAGCTGCCTTCTGCATGACTCCTACTGGGGCTCAAGCATACAACTAAA